CTCATCTCCTGGTCAATCTCCATCCATCCTTTAGATCTTAGCATAAATGTCACCCCCTTAGGGGAGTCAGACAACATTTCAACAAGTTTACAACTTTACTTCCACAACGGTTTCATTGATATTTGACTGTATATTTCCTAAGGACCAGAACCAAGTCTTTTGTATTTATTAATGAATTATCAGGGACTAGTAGACCTATTGAACAAATTTGCTGAATGAATGAATGACTGTATTCCCATTTTTTTTTTTAAAAAAAACAAGACTCCTTCCTTTTTATGAAGTGGGGTCCAGTTATTCAAATCAGATTAGAGGTCAGTTTTAAGCTGTGCCAATGCTCCACCATCAATCACCCCTTTTCCTGTCTCTGGCTCAAGCTTTGTGACTCTGTCCTACTAGGGCCAATTAGTCAGCCCCAAGGTGTCTCATTAGTGTTCATCAGGACTTCATTATGCTGCTAGCCCACTCAGCAGGAGGTCTAGAAAAGCTGTGATTTTGGCAGGACTGGGAGCATGGAATGGGATTTGCCAATTACTCCTACCCCAGCCTATCACACTGTGTTGTAACTGTTAATTCTCAGATGTCTCTCCACTCCCTCACAGCTAGGACAGGATTATCTCTTGCCCCCAGAGGCTGCTGTGGTGCCTAGCATGCAAGGAATGCTCATAAAGGTTTCTTGAAGGAATGTAGTGTTTTCCACAAGCAAAGCTGGAGTTTGAGGACAAAAAGAACTCCTAAGAGAGCATGCGCCTCTAGCATTATAAAAATAAAATAAAACCCAAGCCAAGTTAATCCATTTTGTTGGTTAATTTTGGTTGAATTTTCTGTTACTTGGAACTTTATGTTTAAAGAGAATAATTAATGGTGTGCATGTAGAAGACCTCTGGTAGATTATATTATTATTAATGTTATTAGTAATAGTAGTAATAGTATGTGTATTGGTAAGGGGGTCTAAATTCAGGGCTTGGGTCCTGTCCCTTAGAGCTTTTACTCTCATGGTTTGAGCCATATTTCCACTCTTCGCTTTGTGTTGCTTAATTGGAGATAAGAGTCTCATTGGCTTTCTGCTTAGGCTGGATTTGAACCCCAGATCTCAGACTCCTGAGTAATTAGGATTATAGATGTGAAGCACCAGTGTCCAGCCTTGGTAAATTATTGCTTAGAATTATTCACTGCATCCTTTCACATCTATAGGAATAAACTTCCCTCCTTCTTGTCTTCAGCTCTGGGGTTGGCTTTGGCCAGTGGGATGCTAGCAGACATGGAGAAGCAGCAGTGTGCAAACTGCTTGCAGTTTCCCCTGTTCCCTTGCACTACTACTGCATCCAGAAAAATTCCTTCTGATGGCTGCTGCCCTTTTAGCCAGGGGAATGAATACTGGGGGAGTGGACCAGAGCTTAGCCTCTCCACTTGCCTCAAGACCAGCTAGATCTGCAGTTTGAAGCATAGCCAGCCAGATCTAGCCTAGATCTGTAGACTCACAGGAGACCTATGAGCAATGATTCTTGTTTTCATGCTTGTTGAAATTTTATTTCAACTTTGTTTGTCAAAGAGAAATAGCTGATTGAATGAAGTTAAGTCATGGACTTCTAAACATGGCAGCGTACCTGCATTATCTAGAGAACTTTAAAAGAAAAGAGATGCTGAAGCTTTGCCCAGACTGTCTGGAGTGGTGTTCAGAGATTTACAGTGCTTTTAAACCCTCTGGGTGGTTTTTATATGGTGCCACATTCTTCGATCTGGTATATTGGGGTCACTAGTACCAAAGTGTGATAGGAGGTTAGATAACTTCTAAGATCACTTTTTCTCTCTGAGATTGTAAGATCAAAGAGAGAAATCCTGTTTCAAAGTTTCCACGTGAAAACTTCTGAGCAATCGGTGTTGAATTTTTCTCACCTCATTTGGACAAAGATGCAGATGTAAATTAAATTGTGATTTATCATCCCAGGCTTGTTTTTTTTTTTAAATTTAAGGGTTTCTGCCTGGGTTAAGGTCAGCAAACAGATGAAAATGAAAATTTAAGGCCAGAATACTGGGACTGGAAGAACCATGATGCAGGGTCAGGGGAGAAGTATGGGTGAAGCTGAGCTTAGCAGAGCTTAGCAGAGCAGTTGGTAAAGGAGTGAGCTGAGAAGAAGCATTTGCCTATGGCTTGGCAACCAAGACCTGGGAAACACACCTGTTCAATTTTAGTTCAATTTTAGTTAACAATTGCCGTGCCCCTGATAACACTTTAGAAAGGTTCAGACAAAAAAAGCTAAATACACTGTTAAAAGCACAAATTTATAGCCAGGTACCAGTGGCTTACACCTGTAATCCTAGCTACTCAGGAGGCTGAGATTTGAGGATCCAGGTTCAAAACTAGCCTAGCACAAAAGTCTGTGTGACTCTTATCTCTAATTAACCACCAAAAAGCTGGAAGTGGAGCTGAGGATAAGTCGTTGAGCAACAGCTCTGAATAAAAAAAGCTAAAAGACAAACCCTGAGATTAAGCCCTGGTACGTGCATAAAAACAAAACAAAGTGTATTTATTTATATAAAGAGCATGGTGAAAGTACAGTGTAAAAGAACATAGATTCTAAAGAGATTACAATAAAAATTTTTCACTTAAAAATTTCAGACTGTACAGAAACATCTAAAGAATAAGTATCACATTCATAAACTACTTTTCAGAGAAAACTACTTGCAATGCTGTGCTGTCTCAACATTTTTTTTCCTGTGGACGGATACACATGCATCTTTTCATAAAAATAAGACTTTCTTATGCGCGCTCATTTTTCTATGTCAGTCTAATCATTTTTAAAGTTGCACAATACTCCATCCTACAAAGATATACCACTGTTGAACATTTAGGTTATATTTTGTTATTATAAAGAGACAGTGATGGAGTTCCTTATTAATACATCTTTTTGTGTTTATCCAATAATTTCTCTAGGGTAAATTCTGATAAATGAAATTGTTAGATGAATGGTAAATACACTGTAAAGTTTCTTTCATAGTCAAATTGCCTTCCCAAAATGCATAAATTAATAACGCTAAGGTTTGTCAATATGTTTAGCTCTGTTAATCACCCAAAGGAAGACAATCTGGTGGTTTTATTTTCCCTTTATTACTAATGGTTTAAATGTCTTCTTATATTTATTGTATACTTTTTGTGAATTAGACGTGTTCCCCATTTTTTCTGATACCACCTTTACTTCAATTATAACGACTTTATATAGTTTTCTCTCACATTTTTTCCTAGTTGACTTTCTTGTGGTGACTTTTCATACTTTTAAAAAAATTGGCTTGTATCAGTGGTACAGGGAAGATTTAATTGACATTTCTTAATTTTATGAGACAACTTGATCAGTTTTCTTTTCTTTCTTCCGTGTGTGTGTGTGTGTGTGTGTGTGTGTGTATGTGTGTGGTGTGTGCTGGTACTGGCAGTACCTTGTGCTCTAGGCTTGGCTTTTACACTCAAGGTTGGTGCTCTAGCACTTGAGCCATACGTTCACTTCAAACATTCTGGTGTTTAATTGAAGATAAGAGTCTCGTGGATTTTTCTGCCCTATCTAGCTTTTAACCAAGATCAGCAGTTCTCAGATTCCCAAGTAGGTAGGATTACAGGCGTGAGCCCACCAGTGCCCATCTTTGATTAGTTTTTCAATGAGATTTTAAAATTCCAAGATGGAAGGCAAAAATATACTGAAAAAGGCAAAAAGGACTTTGGCAGAATTAAGTCCTTGATCTCACTAAGTATCAGGGGGAACAAGCGGTGGTCAGAAGAGCACTGGACTGGGAGTCAGATCACCTTTAAGTCTCTGGGTTCCAACTGAGTCAACACGATCCGAATATGGGCTCCCTTGTCGGGCGGTGCAAAGAAACAGGCGAGAATGTTCACAAAGAGCTTCGTCAAGGCCTTTCCACAGCAAATCCTGTCCAAGTCTTCGCTGTTAAAGGGGAGGAGGGCACTGTGGGACTTTAAAAAGGCGGTCTGTGGGATTCTATCGCGGTCAGTCTGGGAATCAGGTGGGAGTTGGCTCCCTGTCACTCAGCATCTGGGAGAACTGCATCTCCGGAGCAGTCACAGCCTGAGTTCCAATCCCGATCTTGCCCTTTTCTCCGTCGGTGACCTTGGACAAGTCACCCCTTCTGGTTCTCCGTTCAGCGTGTTCACCTGGAAAGCAGACGGCAGACACCTGCCCTTCCTGCACAAGCCTTTCAAAAACGTTGGAAGGAAAACGCTTCCAAAACAGTGCACAAAGGTTCGTTAGGAATAAAAACCTGTCCCGGGGCAGACAGCTGGGGCTCCCGGGGTGCTCGGGCAGGGCCCCCGCCGCCCCGCAGCCCGCCCGAGGGGTGTGGACGACCCCCGCCCCTTTGCTCCCCGCCCGCCTTTGGAACAATAGCTGCCCCGGAGGCGGCGCCGGGCCCGGGGAGGGGGCGGAGCTGCGGGCGCGGGCGCCGGGGGTGTGCGCGGGGCGGGGTCGCAGCCCCCCCTTCCCTCCCCGCCCGCTCCGTCACGCGCCCCTCGCCGGGCGGGCCGGGGTCTTTTGTGACGCAGTGGCTGACGGGTGCGGACACAAAGGGAAAGCGAATCGGCGAGGGTGGTGGGGAGGGCCGGGCCTTGCCCTCTCGTGGAGACCCCCGCCCTGCCGTGCGCGCGCCGGGTCTCCGCTCAGCCTCCGCGCGCGCGCGCCCGTGCGCGCGTTCCCGCGACCCTCGCGCGCGCGCGCGCACACACACACACACACACACACACACACACACACACACACACACAGACACGCGCGCGCGTGCGCGCGGTGCCCACCGACTCCGTCCCGAGCGAGCGCAGCCCAGCCCCGGGGCCTGGCGAGTGCCGCCGCGCGGGCGGGGCGGGCGATGCCGAAGGGCTGCTCGGGGGTGCGGCGCTCCCCGTGCTAGGAGGCGCCCAGACGGCGGCGCAGCGCTCGGGGCGCACGGCTGGATGCTCCTGGCCTGCAGCTCCCCGGACTTCCCGCCGTCCAGGGGCGCCAGCCATGGGCGCCGCGGCCGCCCTGGCGCCGCTCCGGCTGCCTGCTGCGCCCCCGCTCGCTTTCTGCTGCTACACGTCGGTGCTTCTGCTCTTCGCCTTCTCCTTGCCCGGGAGCCGCGCTTCCAACCAGCCTCCCGGTGGCGGCGGTGGCGGGGCTGGTGGCGGCGGCGGCGGGGACTGTCCCGGTGGCAAAGGGAAGAGCATCAACTGCTCAGGTAGGACGGGCCGGAGCCCGCCCCCGGGGACCCTCCCTCCCTCCCTTCTGCCCACCCCTGTCCTCCCCGCCACCCCTGCCGCCTGCTTCCCACGGCTGGACTTGGGGAGCACCCCCAGCCTGCGTGTGTGTGTGTGCGTGTGTGCGTGTGTGTGTGTGTGTTGGGTGTGGGGGGGGGCGTCCCAGGAGCCGGGGCGGGAGAGCCGGGCTACGGGATGGGGAGTGGTCGTGCGTGCGTCCCTGGGTGCCCGGGGGCCCGGGCGAGGGCGGCTCCGTGTGCGGTGCCCTGGTGAGGCTGGGACCCGCGAGGCGGAGCACGGAGCAGCCCGAGTGGTCGTGTGTGTGTGTGTGTGTGTGTGTGTGTGTGTGTGTGTGGTGCTATCGGTGGGAGATGATAAGGAGCCGGGGGCACCTGAGGCAAAGGGCCAGAGTAGTGACCATGTGCTGGGGAGGTTCTTCCTTAGGGCTCCAGGGAGCTCAGAAGGGTCTTGTGGGTAAAGGGTGGTACTGAGGACTTGGGGGCTTAACGTGTGTGCAGGTCTGTGGGATTCAGAAGCCAGATGGAGGAGGGAGGAGGTGTCACACAGTTTTGTGGATCTGGGTAGGGCAAAGTCCCAGGCCCCAGGAAATGACCCTGTGTTTTTGTGTTGTGTGTGGATGGATGGATGATGCCTGGGGCTCAGGCAGCCACCCTGGGCTAGGCATTGAAAGAGGAGGGGTTAAGAGTCCAAGAGTCATCTTCCCTTGAGGAGGGACGGGATGGATGCCTAGGACTCTTCTTGTGTGTTGTTTGGTTATAGAAAGAGGTGATGAGGTCCCAAGCCGTCCCCCTGGGTAGCAAAGTGTATCCTGGATTATTAGGGTGATGTGTGTGGAAAGCCAAAAAAAAAAAAAAAAAAAGGATGCAGAGTCCCCTGCTTGTGTGTTTTTGCTGGAGGGCCTGAGATTGGCAGCCCAGGGAGCCAGGGACTGACCTCTCCCCTCCCTTCCAAGGCCGCCTGCCCTCCCACAGCTGTTGGAAACAAAGAGCTTGCTGGGGCTTTATTGGATGACACTGGGGAGGAGGGGACTGGGCAGTAAAGTTCCCTCTTCCTTTATAAAGGAGTCCCAGAGGATCCCAAGGATTCAGGCCCTGGGGCAAGGAGAGGCAGCCAGGTCTCATTTGTGAGAGGGGGTGAGGTAGGGAGTATGTGTGTGTGTGGGGGATGGGATTGGGGGGGGTGTTCTTGTTGAACTGGCCTAGCAGATGCTCATTGGTCATCAGCCAATCTTTTGCTCACTTGTCTTTTTATCGGTTCTAAATCCTTTACTGGTCCTCCTCTTTAATAGAGAGGAGGAAGGATGGACATGAGGCCACTGGGAATCTGCTAGCCCACCTGGCACACAACCTTTGTACCTTTGGGCTAGTGAAGAGGTGTTTGTGAGAGAGGGAGGGAGGGAGGGAAGAACAAGACCCTCTCAAGCACTGGGCTCCTATACCCAATGTGAAGAAAAGCTTATAGCCTTGTGTTGAGGTTTCAAGGCCTCAGAACCTTTTAATAGTTTTCACATGGTATGTTTTATGAGCACACTTAACAATTCATGTCCATGGAAAGCATTTCCATCCATGAAATCGAATATTTTTCTAATAGTAAGTGGCATGTGAGATAATGCTTTAATAAGCAATCACATTTTAGGAATAAAGGCCACTTGTATATTGGAGTTATTTTTTTGTAACAAATATTGGTTATCAAACTAGTAAGTGATCATACCATGTCAAAATATTTTATGGGCTAATGTGCTATGGTTATTTGTTCTTGCTAAGCTAATTTGTCCTTAGCAAAATGTAGTGTTGATGGATGATTGTGTGTATACTGTCTAATCTTTGATGCATAGGACAGGTTTTAGAAAGGGACATAGAGGACTGGGGAACAACATGGGGTGGGAAAAAAGGGGAATAATGTAGGGATCATGGCCATTACTATGGAACTATGGTATTTTGGGGGGGGCAAATTAGTTAATTTTTTTGTTTCTTTTATTAAAAAGGAGATTTGGATTTAATAATAACTAATTTCAAGGTATATTTATCACTGTTATGCCAATAAATTAGGTTGATAAAGTAAAACATTCCCTAAGACTAAGATATACTTAAAGAATTCTAGATATAAAGCTAGATCTTTAAATGGTTTTTGTAGATTCTGGTTACAACTTTGTAAAGACTAAGAAAGAGTGGTAGGGAAAATGTGAATTTTCTTTAGTTGATGAATTTGAGAACTACCTTAACTAGTTTGGACATAAGTATCTGTTAATGCAGCTTGAATTGAGTCTTTCATTAGCTTTTAAAAATTTAATTTAATTTTATGACAGAATCTCATCTCCCAGGCTGCCTCAGCCTCTTTAATTCTGTGATTACAGGTAGGTATATATCACCTCAACTGCCTTTTTTGTTTTTTTTTTTTTTTTGGGTCCGGTCGTGGGGCCTGAACTCTGGGCCTGGACGCTGTCCCTCAGCTCTTCAGCTCAAGGCTAGCGCTGTACCATTAGAGCCACAGCACCACTTCTGGCTTTTTTCTTTTTGCTTATGTGGTGCTGAGGAATCGAACCCAGGGCCTCATGCATGCAAGGCAATCGCTCTACCACTGAGCCACCTTCCCAGCCCCACTGACTTTTTTTTTTTAAAGCAGCTTTTGTTATTTAATTATTTCCTACATAAACAGAAATTTACTCAATCATGTACATGAGTTATGAAATCTAAATGTTATCCTTGACTCCCAGTTGTCAGTTTTGGTTTTGGACTATCCTTTTTGCCTCCTGTGACCTGTATGGAACCTGATTCCATCTGGGCTGTGTATTGGTTCATTCAGAGCATTTTGACACTTGTAAATGTGAAGAGAAAGGTAATGGCTTTATTAGGTTAATAGGAGTTTAATCTGTATTGTGGAAAAGGATGGACACCTGAAGTGTTTACTGGCAACTGCCTACCAAGTTGGTTGACATTGACATGTTAGCCATCAGAGGCTAATGAGCTACGCAATCCTCTTAGTTGAGTTGAATAGATTTTTGAGCTTCTGCTTTATAGAGCATATTCTATTTGGTTCACCAGCCTATCATGAAAAGGTTTGGTCAGACCATCGTGTTAGTATTAGTTATGTAAATGTCTGTGTCATCTTCCATTTTAAGAGGAAAACAAATGGAGAGCCTTCCTATGGTGGCTTTCTCTTTCTGCTGTATTCAAAGACTTTTGTTAGTTTATAGTTTTTCAGCAGATATGTGGCAAGCTTACCCATAGATGAGGTTTCTCTGCATGATCCCTTTATTAAGCATGGTGGATGTGTTCCTTCATTTGTGATACTCTGACGTTTTGTCAAAATAGTTTAAATAATACACAGCAGTAGTTTTGACATCAGATCTAAAGTTGGTTGTTTTTTTTTTTTTTTCTCCTCGGGGCTGGGTGTAGTGGCTCAAGCCTATAAATCCTACTACTTGGGAGGTTGAAATTCCATCTTCATCAATGGTTAGGCACAGTGAGGGATCACAGGATATGCCTGGTTCTGGCATAAATTCAGACTTGACCTTGAAAATAACCCCAAAGGGCTGAAGGTATAGTTCAAGTGGTAGAGCCCTGAGTTTAAACCCTAGTTCTGCCCCTGCCCCTGCCCCCAAAAGGAGAATTTTCAGTTCAGTAAGTAAATTTGAGCAAGAAGGAAATGCTTTTGAGTTTGTTCTATATTCCACTGTCCACTGTATTCCACTGTCCACAATAACTTAGTTGCTAGCTCCCTTTTATCTTCCCAGTTTTAAGGTCATGTTCCTTGATGAAGACAAGCAAAGAAGTTGAATGAGTCTGCATTGCCCTTCGTGTGTGTGTGTGTGTGTGTGTGTGTGTGTGTGTGTGTGTGTGTGTGTGTGTGTGTGTGTGTGTATGTGTGTGTGTGTATGTTGGTACTGGGGCTTGAACTCAGGGCCTGGGTGCTGGACCCTTAGCTGTTTTTGCTCAAAGCTGGTGCTCTACCACTTGAGCTACAGCTCTATTTCCAACATTCTGGTGGCTTGTTAGAGATGAGAGTCTCATGAACTTTTCCTCCTGGGCTGGCTTCCAATGGCAGTCCTCAGATCTCAGCCTCCTGAGTAGTTAGGATTACAGGCGTGAGCCCTGGCACCTGGCTAGCCCTTCATCTCTTGATATTTCATCTCCCCATAGCAATGGGCTGTTTTTTTATTTCTTCTTGTTCTAAACCGTTTCCCTCTCTCCCATTTTTTGGTTCTTGCTTCAGTGTTCTACTCACTCATTCTAGACATTAGTTTGTTGCTATTAAAAAAATCTTAAATTGTACACCTTTTTATTGATGTTTACTGTTTAAAAATTTAATTTTTTAGGAAATTCTCTGGGTGTCAAAAGTACAAAGGTTTGAGGTGACATTTGTAGCCAGGTGCTGGTGGCCCACACCTGTAATTCTAGCTACTCAGGTAGCTGGGATTTGAGATGGTGGTTCAAAGCCAACTCAGGCAGGAAAATCTTTTAGGCTCTTTTAAAAAAAATATTTAAATTGTTATTATGAAGGTGATGTGCAGAGGGATTACAGTTAAATGAATTAGGAGTGACAAAGTCACTCCTTCTCTTGTTCCCTGCTAGTTTTCCCCTTCCATCCCTACTCACAAGTTGTATAGTTCATAGTGGCTAGTGTCTAATAATAGCACTGCTACATTTGTTCACACTTTGTCCCTCCTTTTCTGCGCCCCCCCACCCCTTTTACCTCCCAAAGACAAACTCAAGCATGAAAACTCTGGGAGTAGACTGTGGCTCAAGTGGAAGAGCACTAGCCTTGAGCACACAAAAAAAACTAAAGACATGTCCACATCTTGAGTTCAGTTCTGTTATTGTCACACACATACACCAAAACACACAACATTTGTGAATAAAGTTGAACTTTGAACTCAGGAGACTGTGTAGCTTTAGATGTTCCTTTGCTTTTTCCCTACTTGTAACAGGAATGAATGGTCCTTTTTGGCTTGAGGGTGTTT